CATGAACGAGACTCCGCGGTATTTATACGGTTCAGTATCCATATGTAAATATCGAATCGAGAAAAACGATCCCACAGATCCAAAGATATAATGGCAATGGTGAAAATCGCCGTTTCCTTAGAAGGGGACATTCCGCATTCACTGACCGAACTGCCAGTACTGTTTTCAAGTTGAATTTCTAAAAGATTTTTCTTCAAACACTTTTTTGTAAGGAAACAGGTTACTCAAGTCCAATAATTGTTACCGCTCTTTCCAGGGGTTTGCCTTCGAAACCTTTTATTTGAAATGGTGTTGAATGTTAACTTCTTGATTATGTCATTATTTCCTTTTCGAGTTACATTTTAGTTGTTGCTGTTGTTCGTAGTCCTTGCGTGATGTAGTTTCTGTTAGTTGGGATACATCTTTGTGATTCTGTAGCGCCAGTTCACGATGTTTAAAGTATGGTGATCTTTTCCAAGACTCCAAGGCTTTATTCGCTAAAAGCATTTCTACACCATTGGTCTTTAGAAAACGATTGAATACCGCTGACAGTTTAGATATTTCAGAACAGCTTTGACGCCATGCATGACACCTACATGAAGGTCTTGATCTGATGAGGATGTTTAAGAACATGACACGAGTTTTCAGGTTTATGTTTTGGTTTCGTAGCAATTTGCCGTGTTAGGCAAAACTACCCCGCGTACAACTTATTCTATGTTCAACTTCTTTTTCTCCTATACTTAATTTGTTGTAGATGATCCATACGCCGAGATGTCTGTAGTGTTTAATATTTTCTGATTCCACTTATTGTATTAGGATGGATTCAGGTTAGGTGTCGTTACTGCTTTTATCCCAATTCCAGATCGTTGTTTCCATTTTGGAAAGCATTATTTTGAATTCCATTTCTTGGAGATGAGATATCTCAAGACCGCATTCTTTTAATATTGATAGGAGTTTCTTTCCACACATTTTGTTTGGAAGCTTAACAGATACTTCTGTCCAGCCTTTCCCACGGAAAGTAACCATTGACTGTTCCTCACCTACGACTACCTCGGCTAATTATATCATTATTTTTTTTTCTTCTAGTTACATATGTTACCCATATTCAAAATTCCTTTTTATGTTGTTCAAATACAGGTTCAGATATCAACGTTCTTTTTTTCCTAGTTCAAAGAACAAGGTTCTTTTTTTTTTACATTTTAGAAAAATGTTAAAATTATAAAATTCAGCTTAGTTGAGTACGACGAGCGAGAATGTATAGCATAGGAACATTGCGTGTTCACCTATTTCTTATGAATTTAAGCGTACGACTAGATTGGCAGTTAGGTTTCACCATTTTACTGTTGAATTAATTAGATACAACAGTATGTTCGATTCTAATAGCTTATTATTTCGCACTTCTCGCCAGTGGAACTCTCTTCTGATATTTTTTTTGCTTCCCTCACACCTACAAATTTTAATCCAACGCCAATTGCTTTCTGCCATCGTCCTGAATCCCCTTCTTTTTTGCTCTTTTGGCCTCACTTCTCACTAAATTTTCCTTATTCTTTTTCACTCGAATTAATCCCTTGCGCCCTAGTGGCATTATAGCATTGCTTGGGGTGAAATTATTTAAAAAAAATTTAAAAAAAAAGATTTTTTTAAAAAATTTACTTAGACTTCTCGCTGTTTACATTCGATCCGCCTTCGTTCAATGTCCTTTGATTGTTAAATTTCCAAAGCTTACTTTCCTCGTAATTTGTTCCAGCATTTTCAACTTTCACTGTCTGGTTTCAAGTAGAAGTGTCATTCTAGAGTTGCTGCGGCCTGTTTAGGGGTCAGAAAGAAAGACACGGAAGACAAAATGTAGGTTAAACAAGTGTATTCAAAATAACAGCTATATACAAATCAAGAGTGTTAGTAATAAACAGATAGAGGTGTACGTCCGAACGGTAGGTTAACACTGCGTCCCCGTTTCCCAACCTACTGCCCTAAGACCCTTACAGTTCATATTTATGAGAGGAGGAAGAGTTCATTCTACTGTAGGAGGGTTTACCACAACAAGTTTCTTTATAATTTCCGATTTTCCCCACATGTTTAGTCTTGGTTATTCTCAGAATCTGTATGAAGAATCACATCATGTCGATTCTAGTGTCTTTTACATCTATGAGGAAATCGTTCACCATTCACTGCTATGTAGGAGGCTAGATATGACATAGCAGTTCAGTAGATTTTACTTTGGTGTGGTGCGTGTGTGCTCAATGTAATTATCTAAAGTTGTTTGCTGATTATAAGTGTTAGAGATGCAATCTCCCAGGAAGCATGAGAATTCAAAGACAACATTGTTTTTACATTGGGGAGGATTTATGAATCTTGGAGTTGTTGGTAAAAATCAATTTAGATGTTTTAAACTTTTTGTAGTAGATGATAAATCTTAGGTGTTTGTTTGGATCATTGAGTGATATGTACCGGCGAATTGTGTTGTTTAATTGTTTTTTTTTATCCTACTTATAATTAGGGTTCATTTGGTTACGATATTGATTAAATTAATGATGTGTTTATTTTTGTTTGCATCAGAGACGGATCTGGCGTCATTTTTTTTACAATTTAGGGCTAACTTTATTTGTTCGTGGTTAGGGAAATTATTGTTGATTAGTGTTTGTTTAATGCTACTAAGTTCCTTATAGAATAATATATCCAAAGAAGAGATTACTTTAGCACGGTAAATCATGTTTAAGTAAAAGCTATATTGTATCTGTGATATTAACTTCCACATACAATTTCTGCTCGTGAGTATTTTTTGTAAATGGAGGCGGTAAAATTAAGGCTATTGGTATCGACTATTACGTCAAAGAAAGGGATTCTATTGTTAATGTTGAGTTCGTAAGTAAAGCATAGTGTTATTCTCAGAGGTTTCTTTACATTCTAAGCTGTTTGCTACTATGAATATGTCGTCGATATGGCGTGCGTATATAGGGGGATTGGTGAAAATCTGGAATTCGACATAGCACATGTAGAAATTAGATAGAGTTGGTTTAAGGGCTGAATTCATCCCTACCCCGTACAAATGTAGGCCTGGTGATCACGAAATGGTGACTGTGTCGCGCAGGATATATATATATATAAAAGTGAACATTGAAGTCAACACTTAGAGGCGATAGGCTGTTTCATGCTTGACGCAATCGTCAGGCCACGAGTGTTTTTTTTTTCAGCTATTTATATATACGGGTCAGTGGTGCATTGTGGGTAGTCTATTTTGGCGGTTATTTTGCTGGAAGTCGTTTATGTGTTTATTTATTTATTTGGGTTAAATTATTTTGCTTGTTTTTAATTATTTTTTTTTTTATTTCTTATCTTATATATGTATTTATTTATTTTTATTTCAATCGGTGTTTTATTAACGTAGTAAAAATGTGTTTATATCGCTTATTTAATAGTTTTCTTTTGGTTTGGGAAGATAATTAAAGCTATTTATTCAATTTTGGGGTTGATTGCTGTAGTTTATTCTATTATTTTTGCGGGAGCAGTTTTTAATTTGTTTATTATTTCATTCATTTATTTGGATTGATTTTCTTTATTTGTTTTTTCTAACGGTTTATTTATCGGGATCGGTTTGTTAGTTATTTGGATTAATTTAGATTAATTTATTTTACTTGTTTTATTATTATATATTTATTATACTGCATATTTTTATTTACTCTTTTAGGTTTTCGATTTTTAAGTAACGTAGTATTTTTTATTATTGTTATATAACAGTTATAGCTATCTTTTTCGTCCGATTTTTGGTTTGATTTTTATAGTCTAACTAATATTTTGGTAATAATGGGTTTTTTATTTGTTTATTATTTACTTTATTTATTTGGGTTCATTGATTTTGTTATTTATTTATTCTATTTCGTCTATTCTAACGGGTGTGATTTGGTAATTAGTTTGGGTTAATTTATTTTACTTATTTTATTGTCATTTTGTTTACTTATTTATTTATTTTTTCAGTTTTCGATTTTTAATTAACGTAGTAAACATTTATTTTCATGCCTGCATTTTGAGATGAGCTCGGATCGTTTATTATTAATTTATTTTGATCTGGGAAGGTAATGATAGCTATTTTTTCCTCCAAGCAAAGTTTGCAAGTTTTGGATAGGTTGTTGTAGGCTGATGAACATTTCCTTATTTTCCAAGATATTTTTGGTGTGATGTGCGTTTTTTTTTTATTTCCCAGATATAATTAGAAAGCATTGTGCTGTTCGCGTATTTACTATTTGTGAAAGATGTTTTGTGTGCATAATTTCTTTGTTTCCAGGGTCCTTCAGTTACTCCTATATATACTTTTTCTTCATTATCTGGTGATTTTATCGCGGCTTGGTATCTTACGTTGTTTTGTAAGCAATTACCGTTTAAGGGACATTCGTTCTTTATTCTGTAGTTACACGTGGGTTTAATTTGTTCGTGTGGTTTGTTGATAATTTTCCTGTTGTACATTTTTATTATTTTTGCCATGTTTTTGGTGAAACTGTAGCTGATTTTTAATGTGTTTTTGTTGAATATTTTGTGTAGGGTGCTTTATTCCGGGAAGTGTGTAAGAGTTGAAGAATATATTTCCTACGTTTGTTTTTACGTTTTTTGCTCTACGGTGGGTTTGTTGATACTTCTTTTCCTGTTTGCCTTTTTTGTGTTCAGTGGTGAGTATGTGAGTGTTTCTGGCAATCCACTATAATTTTAGGGCT